GTGCTTTGGGCCCCATAATCCGAGTCCCGCCACGGCCACCCGACTTTGGTGGTGGGCAGCTCTGCTGTCGTCGGGGTTAATACCGCGCCCAACCTATGCGGGCATTATGAGGTTCACCACTCCAAGTCCGGGGGCTTAGGTTGCCGGTTAAAATCATTGGACAGCAGGTCCTCGTGACTATGGGGTCCGCCCCATGTGCCGTTTATCACACTAAGGTAAGGTGTAATAAAAAAGTAGATCAACCTAATCTTGTTTGCCTTTCAAACTTCTAAACAACCCCGCTTCAATATAGCTGTAATTAGAAATTGTCACACAAATTGATGTCTACATTTAACGTTTTTTGCATTCTTAGATAGAATTAACCATACATTTGTCTCTGGAAATGCAGTGGTATATTGCCTACTCAGGCGGTTTCATGTAATAATTACGCAATTTAGGGCAACAGGTAAAGGAAACAAAATTAGATGTGCTGGGTTGTAAATTCTATTGTGCACAAGAGCAGGATCAATAAACGATTTTCTGTGTACCACGGTGCATATTTAGATACCGTATTAAACAAGAAAAAATCTGTAATCATCCGAAAGTTCTTTTAGCAAGTATGTGGAATTCTCTGTGGGTGGGGCAGGAATATTGGTTCATCAGACAACAAAGCTATCACGCTACGACAGATGGATGAAATGATGCCGCTGACTGCTAAATAGGAACGATTGGCCACAAAAATGACCTTGAAATGTCGATCACGAGATGTGTTTGTATTAGTCTTCCCAATCCATCATCAGTGTCAAACCTTCGGCAACTGGAATTGAGACTCTTAACATATGACCCGGACCTCAGGCGTCCCAAAATCAGATCAAATCTGTAGCTTCAACTGATTGATCTTTCATTGTTGTGTTCATTTCGCACTTCTATACAGTTAGGTCGACAAAAGTGTTTGTGGTCCGCGAAAAACAGTCGCTTGTGTACTGTCGAAAATCTTCTGATAGCAAAAACATTATCGAGGGAGGATGTATCCAAACTGGGCTCTGTGGTAGAAAAGGGAAAAATTAATGAGAATTCGAATACCCATTGATTTAAATTAACTGATATGCTAACTCAACACAACATGATTCCCGTTGGGATGATAGTTCTGAAGTAAGATGAGCATGTGAACCGGAAGAGAGGTGAAATCACGGGAGAAAATAGATGTATCCTAAAAGAATTTTCCACCACCTGCTTCGAAGGAATCACTTCAGTGGTTTGTGAGCCTCACAAGTAAGCTATAATGAGATGGGCATGATTGTGTGTGGCAGGAGACGGGAAGAGACACCATGACCTATGCGTCTCTACCCAATACGAGTACGAATAGAAATAGGATA